TTTGAAGTAAAAATCTACCACCACCAAAACATTGTCCGTGAATTGGTCCAGTATAATCGATGAGTTCTAGAACTCAAGCCTTGTTCGTTTCTGTTCATGGCTGGGATTCTACTTTCGGTGGATCATTCGCATCTTCGGCACATCAGCAACATCTCAATAAGCGTTATCTATGAATGACCAACCGACATAACTATGCATAATTGCCATAATTGTGTTCATTCCCGGATGAAACGTTTTAACCACAAACAGCTGAAGAGATTTGAGTGTGAAAACACGATTGCCATACATCAAACGATTATCATAAATCCGCGTAGACTCACGACTCAGAAATAATTGGTGAAACTCCAAATCAGCCTTATCGTGTTCCCGACCCAGTTATAATAATTCACCGTGTTCTATTGAGTAAAGGATCAAGAACCGATTTTACATGCTTCCGTTCTTTTTTATGAACAGTGAAAAGTAATTCCAGGTAAACTGGACTTATTCTTCGCTAGAGCTTGTGGTGAACTACATTTGAGAAGAGCACGTGCTTGGTATGATTGAAACAATTATCATTGTAACCTACTGTACCAGTGATTGTTTCACTGTACCTGTTTGCTTAGGTGTAACAAGAAACACCCTTGCGTTGTTTGGGACTTTGCAAGAATTCTCGTTCGCTCACTAGTCTCGATTGTAGATTTTGGAACGATATTGATATTATTTCGCTACCACGAGATCGCCAACAAATAAATCTTAGCTAAAACTTTCAACTGCTTTCTAGTATTTGGTCTACGGAAGGGTCTAATCTAGTAACTGACACGTGATCTATCTGTAGTGGTGATCATAGTCAACCGCAACTGGACGCCAACTACAAAGTATTCTGAAGCTATGAATCTGTAAGTATATACTGCAATGGATCTCTCTCACAAACGTACACTTCAATACACACATAGAACACTATTCAACAGCATGAGAGTTAATTATCCGTCTTTTGTGCTGTGCTCATGGTTTTGGTTTTACATAATGACGCTTCATCGCGAGTAGATTGTCACAGCATGTTGAGGTCTCATAACACAACTCAATGGATTCCATAACTCAGGGGAAGTGGTTTCTGGCATTGTTTGGCAGACAGAATTTTGGGTGATGTATGTGCTGGTTCAAGAAAACTTGAGTGGTGGGCATGAACCTCTACAGAGGTCTAATTCGAGTTTCCAACTTTCTGCATTTCGAGTGTTCATTAATTTCCATTAGGTCTACGGCATGATAGAGCAGCTATTTCGTAAAATAAAAAAATACTGTGTGTCCATTTCCAAATCATCTATATACTGATCTGAACTGCATCCAGGCAATCCTACTCGACGAGGACTAGTAGTATTTATGAGATTTTGAAACACAGAAATCACTTAAGTGTCTCTTTATTTATGCCAATATAGCATAGAGTCTAGTTTCTGAGTGTTAATTATGAATCACTAAAACCTTTTCAATACTTCATCATGACCATTTGCAGAGACGCTAAGATTGAAACAAAAAAGAACTCACTATATAGTGATCCTTTTTTTATGGATACTCAGTCTACGTGGACAATATCACTTTGTCTTTGAATGTTCTCATCCTTCAACAGTTGCTAGATACGCTACATTAAGTGTACGCGGGCACTACGACGGAGTAGGATGAAGTGTCGTTTGATGTTCTTAAATTTAATTCATTTATGTAAGTAATACAAATGACTTATAACACAAAACTTTGCGTAGTAATATTCGTGCAATGTGAACTGTTTTGGAATTTCCCACGTAATACAAGGGAAGTTTTTCATGCGTATGTGAATGAAAAAGCACATACTATACAAGTATTTCCGTCAATTCAAGTTAAACTAACTAATGGTACGTTCAAACACAAATTTTGAGCTATTTTATTTAATTCCGTATTGAAATTTTTAATCGACGTTTTAGAAGTCAAACAAATTTTCATTTAACGCTAGCGTTTATTTATTTTCAAATAATGTAGTATTTAGTGTTCGTTTGACTAAGCTATTTGTAGTTATCGAATTCTGGATGTTATTCTGTGCGCAAATTTGTTATTTATTTCAACAAAATATTCAAATATCCTCAGGTGATCATTGAATATTTAGAAATGATATCTCGCCTATTCATCAGAATCAACCATATAGTAAACTTTGGAATTTTGGCTAATGAAGATATTTAGGCTGCAAACAGTAAATATACTGCATTTCATCTCAGTAGAGCGCAAATGTCAAAAAATCTTTGATTTGCGCAGAAATCTGATAAAAAATGCAGTTGTTCAACTTGTGGTGATTTTATTTATTCGTTTGGCATCAGCGTAAACTTACTGATGTTAAAATCCCTGAGTAATTTAGTGGTCACTTAATTAGCGATGAGGTTTTGTTATTCCTCAATCTGTTCTTCATATTATCATAGACCTAATCGATGTAGAAAGCATCTGAAATTCCTTCGTTAATTTAAAGAAAGAAAAAGACCTTATACTTTTAAAAATATAAATAAAAGACGAATAACTTCAAATACGGAATATTAAAATTTAACATAATTACATACTTTTTGAACTCATCTTTTAACAATTAATCTTCTAAACTCACGGCAATGCATCTTCTTTGTGTAATTTCAGAATTACATCAGGAAGCATGATTTTATGGTGACAGGTTTTTATGTGCCATTTTGATTTTGAGCCGCATATTAGATGACCGAACTGTGTTTTCTTACCTGTGCTTTTTTAGATAAATCAATACGTAAATCAATATGTAAACAGTCTAAATCATTATGTTGTAGTTATTTTTACTGCTTATTGACGCTAGATTGTTAAGTATTGAAAGTCAGTAGGCAGTGAACAACTGTTTTCTCCTACCTCATGGCTTCAGAAACATCGTGTCACGACCCCTCCGAAACTGAACCTCTAGGCCTTTCAGTCACATGGCACTAATGAACATACGTATTTAATAATGGCCATTTTTGGATTTTGAGTAACCTTTACAAACAACGCATCTAAAATATATTATTATATATTAATTAGTTTCCCCTCATCTGTTCTTGGTTTTGCCTTGAAAACTTCTGATATTTGACACTTAGAAATTTTTATTTTTCAAAATAAGACTCAGCAAAGATGGATAGTGGCTAACAGTGGAATCCAGGACGCGCGTTTCGTCCTGTTTGGGACTCGTCAGCTGGATGTACCTGCATCTCAGAGTTGGTGTTCACTCTGGGCAATATCGAGGCATACGCACAGTATGCACATAAGCCAATAAGAGACTGATCAGTTTCAGTCCTAAAACATCAATGGGAAGATTCAAATAAAACAATATCAAGTGAACATAAGACTCAGTTCACTCATACATTTCCTATTAGCACATCCAGTGCCATCCTATCATGGGAAGTAGACGTAACCTCCAAACCACTCACGGTACGTGTTACTTCTGGAATACTTAATCAGTATCTTATAATTCACATTTCTAACCTGATTTGGATCTACAGAATGATAATTATCCAACACTTCAATATTTTAAATTTTAAACCTTTTACCTCAAATCATCCTTCAGTCATATTCTCTACCCTCAGTCTTTCTGATTATCTCTAATACTTTTGTTATTATGACTCGTTTTGTAATTTGATATCTCTGTGACAACGGGTGTGGCAACTTGAACTGGCTCATGTCATATTAAAGTCCAACATTGGTTATGACTAAATTATTTAGCCATATGAATTATCATGGAACCTTCAACGTACAGGAAGTAAAGCCGAACAAAATACCACAAGTCATTTCACTACGCATATTTTCTTCTAAATTCTTGTCTTCTAATTGTTGTTCTTTCTCCCATTTTTTTAGCTACACAAGTGCCTTAATATCCCGTAGATATCTTTGTTTTCCTTGATTATTGTAACAAATAGTTAGTAACTTTGAAGCGATATAGCTAACAATCCATTTTTTCATTTGTTATCTGTATTTTGTCATTAGTGTTTAGGACTGCGATTGAACAGTCTCTTATTGACATATGGGCATTCTTTACATGTTGCCTAGATATCGTCTAAATCACATGCAGTAGAATCGAGGATATGCATTTATTCCGATTTGGGACCGGTCACTTGGGTGTACCTATATCCCACATCTGATGTTAACTCCACTATAGTATTGTTCGCTTCAAACGCCATGACGTTATTAACTTAGCTACTGATTTCAGACCCCGTTGCATAAGCTAGTGGCTATCTGGACTCTGTAACTAAGTGAATAACGTTATGACTTTTGAAGTGAACGGTACTGGGTTGGAGTTTCTGAATGAACATCAACTGTGGGATATAGGTACACACAGGTAACCACTCCCAAACAAGAATAAACTTTCGTCCTCGATTCTGCTGCTAACCACCACCATCTTTGCTTATAATAGCCCACCATTGTTTTCAATGGTATATGTGCATTCACTCTATGTCATTCTCTAAAACATGAGTTCCAAAATCTTCCTTTCTTCCTATTTCTATACTTAGTCTTTTCTATGGCTACTGATATCGTTACTATTTCTACTATGTGATTTGTTTAGAAATAGTTTTATCTCACTGTTGTAATGGGATGTAAGAACTTGCACATAAGTCAGGTTCTGCGATCAATATGACTGACTAACCAATTTCCTTTATTTATGTTTCTACAAATAACAGAACGATGAAAATATACTCTTCTTGAAAGTATTTTAGATTTCTAAATGCATTCCTTTATTTAAAATCCCTCTTTACTAAAAATCGAAAGGCTATGCGCATCACAGTACAGGTTAATATTATTTCTTTAAAACTTTACACAAATCGTAAAAGCAATAAACGTTTCAACATATTAAAAACCAAATAAACTAGCTTCTTGCTATCTATATATATTGATCTGTAGATAATTTGATAGTTGTAACTTTGGTCTATCCTAATTCCATCTCTACGCAAAATATTGTGTACTCAGTTTCAGTTAATATTTCTTATCTATTAAATAGCACTATGATACAGATACTTGTATTGAATTAGATGGAGTGGGGTCTTAACCTGTGGTTAGTTAGTTGAAAATTTTGACTGTCTTGTTTTATCACTCAATGTTTTATCTCAATTTCATGTGAAAACCTAAAACCATCATCATTTTATAAATTTCAAGAACGAATATGTGAACTGTGTTAACTGTTTTTATTTTTACAATAAAAATATTCAAAACTGTGTTCCATCTCATTACTATCATCTAGCAGGAATAGTGTTCCTAACTTTATTCGTGGTAATGTTTTAAATCAAGAGAAAGGATATGGTTATTTAACTTTCAATGAAACATCATATCGTCATGCTAAAAGTTTTGGTAGTTTAGAAGCTAGAACAGGATTTTATCATTTGAAAATAAAAGCTGAAGACTGTTCTCATCTAACAAAGTCGACAAAATCTTGGCCAATTACATTTGAAGTGAGCAGTTCTTTAAGTGTAATTTTATATATGCGCATGAACGTATTTTCAAATTTAATGTTAGTAGATTTTTTCTACTGAAAAACAAGGTACATGACGACAAGTGATGTAACGTTGCATAACTTTATGCATGAATAAAATTCATGAAAAGTTGCGTAAGCGAAATAATTCTATTTTTAATCGAATCCTTTTTAAAGGTTTACTTCCGTATATATTATAAGTGTGTATCTATGTCCATATATTTAACTAACGATGATGATTGATGAGTTAACGATAAGAGCTACTGAGATCCTACACTGACCCATAATTGTAGCAGAATATTAAATCGATGGAGGTGAAAACAGAATAATGTAGGGAGCACGTAAAAACAAAAATATTGCAATAAATGAAACTATTTTGACCTTGTTAAAAACCAATTTAGTGTTGCGTAATGGTAACATGTGGAGCATAAATACGAAAGACTTTGTTCAAGTTTGACTACGTGATCTGAATCAAGCATTTATCATAAGCAGCGATGAATAGTGACTAGTAGTGGAATCCAGAATGCACTTTCCGTCTTACTTGGGACTCGTTATCTAGATGAACCTGCATCTTAGATTGAGCATTAACTCTGGGATGCAGGTACATCCAGATGACCAGTCTCAAATAGGAGTAAACGCACATCCTGGATTTCAATGCTATCCACCATCCATCTTTTCTTATAATGCTTTTAATCGAGGCAACCCGTACAGATCGCCTATATGTCAATAACTTACTTACTTATTCCTGTTACTGCTCGTGAAGGAGCATAGGCCGCTCACCAGCATTCTCCATCCAACCCTGTCCTGGACAATCCTTTCCAGCTCCTTCCAGTTCCTATTGATCCTTTTCATATTTGCTTCTATTTCCCGACGTAAAGTGTTCTTTGGCCTTCCTCTTTTGCGCTTCCCTTCAGGATTTCAAGTTAGGGCTTGCCTCGTGTGCAGTTTGACGATTTGCGTAATGTATGTCCGATCCATTTCCATCGTCTTTTCCGAATTTCTTCTTCAGCTGGAAGCTGGTTTGTTCTCTTCCAGAGAAGGCTGTTGCTAATGGTATCCGGCCAATGGGTGTCGAGTATCTTGCGTAAACAGCTATTTATAAATACTTGTGGTTGTCGTAGCTCTCTAAGTTTCAGCTCCGTACAGTAGAACTGCCTTGACGTTCGTATTGAAGATTCTGACTTTGATATTGGTTAAAAGTTGTTTTGAGTTCCATATGTTCTTCAATTGTAGGAATGCGACCCTTGCTTTGCCAATCCTCGCTTTTACGTCTGCATCTGAACCTCCTTGTTTATCGATGATGCTTCCCAGGTATGTGAAGGATTCTACATCTTCCAGAGTTTCAGCATTAAGAGTGATCGGATTGCTGTTCTCCGTTTTGAATTTGAGGACCTTGGTTTTTCCTTTGTGTATGTTGAGGCCTACTGATGCAGAGACTGCTGCTAAACTGGCTGTCTTTATCTGCATTTGTTCATGTGTATGCGATAGGAGAGCTAGGTCATCTGCGAAGTCCAAATCTTCTAATTGATTCCGAGCTGTTCATTGTATTCCGTGTTTTCCCTCAGATGTCGAGGTCTTCATAATCCAGTCAACCACCAGAAGAAAGAGGAAGGGAGACAGTAAACAGCCTTGTCTGACTCCTGTCCTTACTTGGAATGCATCTGTCAGTTGTCCTCCATGCATCATGACCTTGCACTGTAGTCGGTCGTATGAGTTCCGGACAATATTGACAATCTTCTCAGGAACTCCGTAGTGTCTAAGAAGTTTCCATAACGTCCTCCTATCCACACTGTCAAGTGCATTTTCATAATCAATGAATTTGATGTACAGTGTTGAGTTCCATTCAATTGATTGTTCAACGATGATCCGTAGTGTCGCACTTTGGTCAGTGCACGACCGATCCTTATGGAATCCAACTTGTTGCTCTCGAAGTTGGACGTCTACTGCATCTTTTATCCGGTTCAGCAACACTCTGTTAAAAACTTTCCCTGGTATTGACAGTAGTGTAATGCCTCTGTAGTTTTCACATTTGCTCAGATCTCTTTTCTTTGCAATCTTGATGAGGTGTCCTTCTTTCCAGTCCATCGGCACTTGTTCCTCCTCCCAAATCTTTTTGAATAGAAGGTAAAGCATGTTGGTAGTTACTTCGATGTCTGACTTCAGTGCTTCAGCTGGTATATTGTCGGGTCCTGCTGCTTTCCTGCTCTTGATTTGTCTGATGGCCATTCTGATTTCTTTCATCGTTGTTGGATTGACATCTATAGGAAGATCTGTGTGCGCTGCTTCGATGTTCGGTGGATTCATTGGAGCCGGCCTATTCAGGAGTTCTTCGAAGTATTCTACCCATCTATTCCGCTGTTGTTGAATTTCAGTGACTGCCCTGTCTTCTTTGTCTTTGACCGGTCCCTCTGGTTTACTATACTTCCCTGCTAGTTTCTTCGTTGTATCGTAAAGCTGTTTCATATATCCTTCCCTTGCAGCTTTTTCCGCCGTCGTTGCTAGTTCTTCCACGTATTTCTTCTTGTCGGCTCTAATGCTTTTCTTCACTTGCTTGTTTGTTTCTATGTATTCAGCCTGTGTTTGAACTTTCTCTGCTTGTGTTCGACTGTTGTTAATTGCTGTCTTCTTGTTCTTCCTTTCTTTGATCTTGTCCAGTGTTTCTATAGAGATCCATTCCTTATGATGGTGCTTCTTTAGACCCAGAACCTCTTGACACGTTGAAGTTAATACTTCTTTGATACCTTTCCAGTTGTCCTCCATAGTAGTTTCTTCTTCCTTCAGTAGATCCTGTAAGGCTTGGAACCTGTTGTTGAGTGCTATCTTGAATTCATTGAGTTTGTCAGTATCTAGAAGGAAGGCCATATTGAACCTTTGTAGTACTGTCTATCCAGTTGTCCAGTTTTTCTTTAGCTTCAGTTTTAAATTGGCCACAACTAGGTGGTGATCTGAAGCTATGTCAGCTCCTCTCCTGGTTCTCACATCTTCCATTGTCCTTCGGAAATTTTTATTGATAAAAATATGATCTATCTGGTTATCTGCAGTGTGGTCCGGTGAGATCCATGTAGTTTGTGTATACGTTTCTGTGGAAATATTGTGCCTCCTACAACCAATTTGTTGAATGCACACAGATTTGCAAATCTTTCTGCATTTTTGTTTCTCTCACCCAGTCCATGTCGTCCCATGATATCTTCACCTTCGGTGTCGTCTATTTCACTTTTGGCATTTAGATCTCTCATCAGAATGGTTAGGTCCTTTCATGGGCACTTCTCTATGACTGATTACAGCCGCTTGTAGAATTGAGCTTTGATGTCGTCGTTGCTATCATTGGTGGGTGCATAACGTTGGATAATATTCATTGTGATGCTCTCCTTCTTTGTTTTGAATGATGCTTTGATGATTCTGGATCCGTGAGATTCCCATCATACAGGTTCGTTTCATGCTACTTTGGACAGCATTAGAGCAACTCCCTGAGTGTGCGGAGCATTTTCCTCTTCATGACTGGAGTATAGTAGCATCTCTCCCGTATTTAGCATTTGTTATCCAGCTTAGGTCCAATGGGTTTCGCTGATTCTCAGTACTGCCAAGTTGTATCTCCTCATTTCCGTTGCTATTTGACTGGTCTTCCCGGTTTCCCATATTGTTCGGACGTTCCATGTACCTATAAAAACTGTTGCTCTGGTTGTTAGAAGGGGCATCGGCCTCTTGGCTTCCGAAGGAACTCGGCTTTCACCATGAAGCGTCATAATTCTTCTGACCTTCTAACTCCCAGGGCAGAGTTCAAATGGTTTGAGTTATTTTCTCTGGTTAGCGTTTTTCTAGCGTATTAGTTTTCTACGGGATGGGGTCGCTAACCCCATGCTCAACCCTCCTCCTTTACCCGAGCTTGGGACCGGCAGTAACTCTGGAAGAGCTACAGGCGGAGTTATATGTCAATAAGAGATTGATCAATTGCAGTCCTAAACACCAATTGGAATATTCATAAAATCAATACAAAAATGAATATAACATTGTTTCGGTAAGTAGCATTAAAATCCTGTTCAACTTACAACTAGTTGGTAGTATGTTGTTTGATATGTGCTTTTTTTTCCTGGTAGCTTTATAAAGCGACATGTACTCATATGGTATATGAGCTTGAATATAATAACCATTCATAACTATCCACTCTCTCTAAAGCTTCAGCTGTATGAGGATATACTTACATTATATCTGAGTTTTAAAGATTTACATGTTAAATGACCCACCTTAGATAACGCATAGAATGAAGTTCGTTCTACATCAGAAAAAACATTAAGTGGACTCTTGTATGAACCACTAGGTTGTGAACATATAGATGGGAAAATTCTTATGTTTTGTATTTGATACCGTGTACAATCGTGCTAATGGATTTCTTACGAAGTTTAATTTTTTTTAAAAACAATTGTCTTGCTAAGTTTTCGGACTGACAGAATCTATTCAGTAGTATATAGATATGTTCAGCAGCTAAATTTTACTTTCTAAACAATTTATTCAGATATCTTCGATCATCTCTTAAACATTATCAATGATGTTTGATTCGATAATTTTATATAAATTGGGCATTGAGTAGATTGTTTATAATACGAAAACAATATATTTGTAATATTTTAATGAATGAAAACTGAATTTCGAACTCTTTGAGACTTAGGGTAACTCACTTTTACGAAGAATAAGTAATCTATCTAAATTAACAGAATTTTAAACAAGGCAGAGGGACAAATCAAAATGTTTAATACAGTCGTGTATATTGAACAATTTTTCCATTGTTACTGTGAACAACATCATTAGCAAAAACACCAGGTAGAAGTCAGCTATTCGAGCTACTCCATTTATGACTGATAGCTTGCGTTGTCAACCTTGATTTTGATTGGTTACTGTCGATATACCTGTTCTGGAGAACAGTGGAAGCTTTACAAATAAAATCTTCCGCTCAAAATCATCAAAGTAAGCCTCAAATTTTGTCAGTTATCTAGAAAAATGGTGTATTTGCAATGTAAAAGAGTAGAGCTAATTTGTGTGTTAATTGTGTGCGGTTTAAACAGGATGAGTGTGTTTACTTAGAAAACTGGTTTGAATTGGTTGGATAGTTAAATCTTCTTTTTTATTGACCACAATGGTGTTTAGCAACATACCAAAAGCTTCAGTCACTTGCTTTTATTTTTGGCTTTTATGAGTTGTTTTGATATTGTCAGTATCGATTTGATGTATCCTGGGAATACGATTTACTGCTTCTACTGATTTATAACTCATAGATTTTTTAAGTTTCGTAGAATTGTTTGCAAGTTTTTTTATATAGTTTAGATGTTTCTTAAGAGGACTTATGATTTCTTGAAAAAACTCCCCAACATCTAGGACAGCACTATCGATACAGTTCAGTGCATCAATGAGGGTATCTTTTCTTTTATTCAAACTAAAACATAAACACATATATTCCTTATAATGTACTGTTTACATTTTAGCATATTCAATCTGATTTACCGATTTGGTCTAAAACAAAATATGCATTTGAAATAGATTCATTACATAGACCAGGTCATGAAGTTGGTAAAGTGACAGCATACACATCAGCTATAAATATGACAGAAAATGATAATTTTTTATACGGTGATGATACCGGTATGTGCGCCTATACAATACAAGATCCAAGTTATTCATTCGCAATTGATGGACACGGTAAGTGTACATTGAGTTATTTCAAAAGAAATGTTTTCTGTTTTGTTTAATAATTACTATCTCTATGACATACTTCAATTAAGTTACTGAAATAAAGTTGATTTTATTCCACCAAACGTGGCAATTAATAATATTTGGTAAATCTAATATAACCCTTTCCGGTTGAATGGATTATCCTTTTTGTAGTATTTCATAAGATGATGTCTTCAGTTAAACTAAGCAGTGTAGATAAGTTCAGACTACTTGGTTTAGGTCCGTGTGATTATCTTTATCAATGGATAGAGACTCATGATGAAATAAGTTTGAACTAATAATGATTACCCAGGTGCATTCACTTTTCATTTCAAAATGCTTATACTTTTTATTCCGCAAATCAGATCTTCCAGATTCATATTCTCTATGTTTAAGGTTTTGTTTTTTTACCATCACTGATATTAATGCTTCGGTATTCATGTTTATAATTCAATATCACTGTGCCCATAAGTTGTACCAGCTTGGATCGATGCACATATGTACACCATGTTCTTATTTGTATACGACTATAATTATCGTCAATCAATTCATTTCTGTAAAATATGATACATTTGTTTCATTTGTTTGAATAATAATTTGTTTCTATGCTGCGTTCAATCGTTCCTTTCGTCTATTTTATGGAGAGACTATAATTTATGGACGAACCAATCAGGTGTAAGATAACTGGTGTCGGAGTTTAGCGCGAAATTCATTCACCCATTTAGCTAAATAGTGTTTTGACATTACAGCTAATGTCAGTTCGTGATGAAAACACTAAATTTAATTTTTAAAATTAATCATCAACCGTAAATCATAATTCTAATTCCTCACACAGGTTCATTATCCTCATTTGGTCATGATTATTAGGTGGACACTCTCAAAGTCAATCTAACGTCTAGAGAAAACCAGGCTGATTTCCGACCTGGATGTGGTTGTATATACCAGATATTCACACTGATTCAGGTCCTAGAATATAAACACAGATTCAGACAACCCACAATCGTAGTATTTCTCGACCTTAAGGCGGCATTTCATTGCGATGATCGTAAGGTCCTACGGCAGTTTGTCATTGAAAGTAGTACTAAAGAAGTACATTAACCTTATAAAGGTTCTCTACTCGAATACAACTGGTAGAGTGAGAGCTTATGGCGAACTGTCATCAGAATTGATTACCTTTTAAAAAAAAGCAATATTGAGGCAGTCCGCAGATGATACGCATATGCCAACAAGAGACTGAATAATTGAAGTCCTAAATAACAATTAGAAGATACAAGTAAACAATACCAAATGAATAAAAAAATACGATTATTATTAAATTTCTACCCAATGCTCAATTTATTTGAAATTGTCATATTCGACCTTGATATGGATACCATTTACAATATTGTTAAATTAATCGAATTATTTGAATATATAAACATACTTGAAAAAATCACTAAGTTGACAATCTGACTGACTTTAGCAAACTGTCTACATATAGACTGTTGTATCTGTAGAACACTAAATAAGTGACAACTCTCGGGAAATATTTATGGACTGTTATTTTTATTGTATAACTCTTGATTATTTATTCATGTATCTTTTACAATTAGCCTTCATTTAACCTATTGGCCGGTATATACGATTTACTCATTTTAATTTATTCTCAATTAATTGGTTACAATTCCCCATATTCACAGGCATTTTTGGTATGATCATGTATAACTTTAATGTTTGAGATCATGAGTCAATTAAAGCTACACAACCATGGAAACCTTGAACCACTGAACGGCTGTCTCGTCCTATTGTGGGACACCTCAGCAGTGCGCATCTGCGATCCCGACTCGCGAGATTTCAACCCTGGATCTATCAGTCTCGCGCCTAACCTCAAGATCAGTGAGCCGGCCGGCATATCACGGTGTTAATGTCTAACTTCAACTAATCCACGAAATTGCACCACCGTTTACTATTGTCTTTAGTGAGTTACTCCCTCATGACAGACCCGGCTGAACTCCAGTGGTCAGCGTTTCTCATTAGAACCAAGAAAGCTTAAGTGGATACATTTTATTGTCATTCACGATTATATATGTATGATATTACCTAAATTATCAATATGATGGAGTTAGATTTAAGGAACTGATGTGATACTAGTCTATATTAGTGTATGGGAAGTTTTCCTCATAGCTTTCCTTAATGTTTCAGGACTTATTGTTTAGAGAGGTTAATAGATTTTCATGAAGATATACTTGTGTATTCTTTAAAGTTGAGAGTAGATTATTTTTTATACTTGTACTTTTCATGTCTTCATCTTGAGAACATATTGATGTCTATACGCTTGTTGATCCTTAAACGAACCACTATAACGTAATTGAACGTCGCACAATATGTTCTCGAAGCTGACTTTCATCACAAACGAATATCAACTAACGAGCTCCTTTGAAAACTTTAAAACAAGGGATGGTTGTTCGTCTTGTGTAAGAACTCTTCATTAGTATTATGCACTTAAAGCCTACACATTGTATCCGAAACCGTGTTCTTCATGTCTCACGATGAATTCTAGAAAATTGAGTCATTGAGTTGGAAATCGATTGTCTAGGTTATTTAGTTTTAGTCACTTTCTGATATAGTGTAATCTTTATGCAATTTCATTCATAGGGAAACTGTTCCCCGTCCGCTTTGGACTCCCACGAAACCTTCTGGGAACTCTTCTTAGAGCTAATAAATGATCAACATACAGTTATTCTCCACGTATGATATCTTTTTGAAATTTGATATAGTTTGAGATTAATTATGACAATATTTGTGAAATGATTTATTGACCATGTTTAAGAAACACCAATAAACATAAAGGGGCTATCAATCACTTCATGATTTTCCAACTTCTCTAGGTGGATCCTCCGTATCCACCAAACCGGTTTAAGCGCTGGACATTCGCTTTTAGTCCTTTTGTTTTCGTAAGCAACACTTCTGACCCGAGAAAGCAGTGAATAGGAATTCCCTGGCAGTAGTTCTATGCACATGCCCAGTTGAGAGCATTTGAAGAGGGAAAGCCGACTCTGCCCACTCTTGGTCTTACCAGGGTGTTTGGAACTCTGAGCACCTATCGTTTCTTGTTAAATAAACACCATTCTTCTTTCCACCTGTTTTCAGATATATACTTCCTTCATTCTCTCTTTTAAAATGACTTTTATCCGCGCATCAGCAAAATAACATCAATTATTGTTAAAAGAAAAACATGGGACAAACTTAGTAACTTTAACGATAATCATTATAAATGGTAATAACATCAATGACAATATTTATGTCTTATCGATTTAACTTGGCATAGACATTAAACATTTAAAAAAGAAAAAGAAAAAAGTGACGACTCAAAATTAGATTTTTATTTGTCTAGTTTCTAGGTTGTTCTAATGTTAGTGTTATTATGATTTTTTAATTCCTTACCGTTACTATGACATTATTTACTATTGTTTGTTTGTATTTCACCAACTTGTATAGAACATATTCAGCGTCATGAATACTTATTATATTGAAAATTGATAGAAAGAATTCTTTTACCTTATTTTACAAGAGATTATAGAACACATGCACACATATACACACACACACACTTAACATCATTAATGGATATCGTTTGATTTAACTGTTATTCATTGTAAGTATAACATATACACAATATTATTTTGAATAAAATCAAACTAGGCGTTAATAAAATTACTGTATAATTATGAGAGAGAGAGAAAAGTTAATCATTTAAAAAATTAGTTGCTACACAAGTTATTTTTTTCTGACTCATAAATCTTTATAAACTAGATATTTATAATAAATGATATTTGATTTGTCATATCAAATATTTGATATCGGAAAGGGGTATTGTGGACATTATGGTAATTTTATTAGTTCAGATCATGAGTCAAATGAAGCTAAACCACCTAGAAGCACTAGACGACCCTTTCGTCCTATTATGGGACTCCTCAGCAGTGCGCATCCACTATCCCACCTCACGAGTTTCGAACACAGGACCTATCAGTTCCGCGCACCACTAAATCACTGAGCTAGATGGCATTCAACGGTGTTAATGTCTAACTTTAAATAATCCACGAAATTCAGCGACATCCACCATAATCTTCAGTGAGTTACTATTTCATAACAGACCCAAGTTTTTATGGTTTTCCATAGTGGATTCATGATGTCAATTATTGAAATTATTATAATATCCACAAAACCCCTTCTGATATCAATACAATTATCGTATAATTATGGGAGAGAGAGAGAGACAGAAGAGTTTGTCATGTAAAAATCAGTTGCTGCACAAGTTATTTTTTTTCTATCTCACTCATAGATCTGTATAAACCAGATATTTATAATAAATGATATTTGATTTGTCATATAAAATATTTGATCAATAAAAGAATAAGAAAACAAGGCTCATCTATGATTTTAAGAAGATGAAGTTGGTTAGATAATGTTTTAGTATAAAATCTGATTCATTTCTTTCAAATCTAATTGGGATATGAAGTGTTAGAAGTTCAACCTTATTGGTTAGTTTATAACCTTTCCACTTTATCTTTGACTCATCAGTTGTTATCAACTTCCATATTATCTTGGTCAAATATCTGTGTAAAAATTATATATATATATATATATATATATATATATATATATATATATATATATATATATATATATATATATATATATATATACAATTGTCAATGGAACGAAATTCATATCCTATTTGAATACAATTTCTTCAAGAGGTAGTATCAACTAAAAAAAAACTGTTATAGACGAAGAAGTCACAGTCAAATTTAATTGTCTGGGAAATAAGTAATGTAACTAGATAGATAACAACTAGGGCACTCACATTCATGGACTTGACATTAATGTGTTCACAGTGAAACCTAAATACCAAAGTTTCGATCTCATAGAAAGCTGAGGATGAATAAGAGTGAAGGGTTTTTAGTTAAGATTGAATGATTGTTTAATTAGATCTGTTTTTAAATCATTCGCTCAGTAATTTAGTTTCGTAATGGAAACTACGTTTGAAATGAAGAAAAACGTGGTTCTGTAGAGGCTTATTTCCCCTATATCTGACTTCAATAAATAGTATCCCATTATTATTATTATTACTATTACTATTATTATTATTATTATTCATACGCCTCGATACAACTCAAATTTATACAACCTAGACTAAATAATATTAATTATTAAGAAATATAAATGTACATACTTTATATCCCATTTACACAAAATTCAAAGTTGGCAATGATATAAAGGTTAATTACAATTTATATAGTTTAATTATTTCAATGTTCTAGAAGAGTAAACTAATTAATGCATAGAAAATTGATACTTTAATTTACCGTAGATAAAGGATCAAAGAGAGGCGGAATCAAAAATGTATCCACTGTTAAGTCGTTGGCGATTCATCAATTAAAAGTAATCATTTAAAATTATGAATAAAGTGATGGATACACCTTATGCAATTGTCTTTATCATTCATCATACATAAAGTCTTAAAAATTCTATTCATTTATTATTATACATAGGATAGGTAAATTAGTCAGTCAGTCAGTCAGCTACAACGTAGGATCAGGCACCTATATGCATTGGTCCGGGTTGCCAAACCTCATTAGCACAACAAGATAAACACCGAATTCATAGCAGTAGTTACTTCAATGTTTGCATATAAGGATAGCAAAGAAAGAATTAGGGAAGTATGTCACAAACTTTGGTGTTTCTGTTTGAGTTTTCTAGTATTTAGCATTATGATAATTTGTGATTGTTTAATGACTATTCAGTCCAAACAAATCTAAAACAGGTAGGTTCTGAAATTCTGTTTTGTACAACTAATTAATGAATATTGATATGATAATGCAAGTTAACAGTATTTTTTTTAATGTACAAATTTAGTTTCAGATTCAGATTTGTGTAGTAAGGACGGAAGGCCTACGGCCTATGTTATGCATTTCTAGTATGCTTCTATGAGTGTCCAGTATTATCTTGGATGTGTCAATTAAAGGTGCGGACACCACTGCTGGGGGTAACAGGTTCCAAGAATTGATGACTCGGTGTGAAAATGTGTATGCCATGGGTATTTTGTTAGTTCTTAGCATTTCTACTCACCTGCTACGTCCTCTGAGATGTCCCGATCTAATGGGAATAAAGAAAGAGAATATATTAGGTTCAAAATCATTTCTTAGTATTATATACATCAAAATTAGATCACCTTTTAGTCTGAGATATAATAGAGTAAAGTGTTATAGCTTTTCAAGCCACTCTTTGTATGGCAGACCCCGGAGTTATGGAATTTCACGGGTACCTGCCCTCTGTACTTCTTCCAGAATATCCGAGTTACCTTTTAAACAGGGGCTTACAAACTGAACGCAGTCCTCAAGCTTAGTTCTCGCTCAGGTTGTGTATACTGTAGTAAACATGGCAGTATCTAACTTAGTGAATGTTCGTCTTAAAGCCCATAGGGTTCTGAACGTCTTAGCCGTGGTCTTAAGGTCGTGACTCACTGTCACCTCAAGATCCTTATTAGGCCGGACCACGGGTACAGGCACTTCCCCTATGCTGTACCTATTCACCTTTGTATCCCCAAAGTGCATGTAGACGCACTTTACCGCGTTGATAGGCATCAGCTACTCTTTAGACTAATTAATCACTTTATTTAAGTCTGCCTGAATTGTACATGCATCTGCGTCTCCAGTTATTACTCGCCGGATTTTCACGTCGTCAGCGTATAATAACATCTTAAACAGTACTATGCTTGGGAGATCATTTACATACAGTACAAAACGTAAAGGACCTAGGATAGAACCTTGAAGCACTTTATCAATTACTGATCTCTAGGTGGAGCACTTGGAATTTATTCTTACTTTCCGTCTACAACCTACTAGGAATCTCCTGGTAGTGATAAATTCAACAAAATGAAATAAACTTGGATTCATTTGTTTGAGAATTATTTTTATTGTCATTAAAATATCAACATTGTATCCACGATCCCACACACCGGATTCGAACCCAGGACCTTTGATCTCGTGCACGAACACTTAATCTCTAGACCATTTAGCCGAGATTAAACAGTGTTACTGCTGAACTTCAATCAACCTAACATCTTCCATTGTCTTCAGTGGGTAACTGCCGTCCAGTCCTTCTAGGTTTTCAATGGTCCTTTAATATTAATTGGGTTATATTCCTAATCATAACCTGATATTATTAAATGCTTATGCTCCACTAGTTAGAAATTTCTTATCAATTCTTATTATTAATTCTTTTAGATACTGAAGATCGAAACCTGACATTTCATCAAAAAATTACCTTGTGAGTTGAGTTAGTAATATCTTTCAATGGTTTTTTTATATAAAATCCTATAGCTACATTGTTCAATTAACGTGGATAATTAACTAAATAGAACAAATCTGACATCAAAATTAATTGCAATATTTACATAATAAACTTAGTAGTTTGAATAGGAAACATTGATAAAACCCCATTTCTAATTTAATAATTTCCATAAAAGTTGGATTCATAAGTCAATTGTATTTAAACCACCATGGAAAACCTGAAATCATTGGACAGTCGTTTCTTCCTAGTATCGGAATTATATCTAATCTCAGCATAGTGCATGTAGTGTTGAGTCACCTAGACTGGTGGCCACATTGCAACTTGGTCAACAGCATTCGATCTGCACTGTTAAGGATTTGACACACATGACATTAGTCACCACCCCAGTGGTTAATCAGTTGTGACTGGTGAGGAGTCCTATACTAGGATGAAACGACCGTCCAGTGCTTTCAGGTTTTTCATGGTAGTCTAGCTTCAATTGATTCATGAATTCAACTATTCACAAAACCTCTCTCTTTCTATGATTATAATTTCCTTAAAAATTATAAATGAGCTAATTATACTACTTTCGACTAGTGTAGCAGCAGCCTCAGCAGCAGTAGGTCTCAATATACACAAAAGAAAAAGCAAGATTCTCAGATACAACACATTATGTACCAATCCAATCACAAGTGACGGAGAAGATTTGGAAGATACATATTTGGGCAGCATCATTGATGAACACGGTGTATCTGATGCAGATGTGAAGGAGCGGATCGGCAAAGCAAGAACAGCATATTTACAACTCAGGAACATCTGGAACTCAAAGCAACCAACACTAAGGTCAGGATTTTCAATACAAATGTCAACACAGTTCGACTGTATGGGGCGGAAACCTGGAGAACTATGAAAGCCATCATCCAGAAGATACAGGTGTTTATTAACAGTAGTCTACGCAAAATACTTCGGATCCGTTGGCCGGACACTATTAGCAACAACCTACTGTGGGAGAGAACAAACCCAATTTCAGTGGAGGAAGAAGCGCTGGAAGTGGATAGGACACACATTGAGGAAAGCACCTAACTGCGTCACAAAACAAACCCTCACATAAAATAGAGTGAAATGTGAAATGGGTATGACATAAGTATGCACGCACACACACACATAAATATATATATACAATAAACTACAATGGAAATAAAAGAGTTATTTTATTTTGTTTTTTACTGGTGACGTAAAACTGGTGTTTTTTTCACATTATAATCATTAATTAGAAACAGTCGATTTATTACAATCAATTTGAAAATAATAATAATGTCAATGTGAATAAGATACGGCAACACAATACACCATTATAATGAAAGATAAAGGATATTACGTAATTTTGAAATCATGGTAATAAATTAGGCGAGTATATTAATGTATCCTTTCATTAGATAGATGTTAACAATTGGAATCAAATTTTGTACTTTAAAATGGTCTGCTTATATATTTAAACTACCTAATTCCTGACATCTAGATATTTCAACAAATTATCTAATTTTATTTGTTTTAATACATCATTATGGTTATTAATCAAATAACCTCCGCCTAGAGTCCCTCCGGGGGCTACTGCCGGTACCAAGCCCGGATAAAGGAGGAGGGTTGGGTATGGGGTTAGCGACCTCATCTCGTAGAAAACTAACTCGCTAAAAAATTGCTAACCAGAAAAATTAATCGAATAACCTATTTTGGTACGTTTCTGAAAAGTGTATAACCTTTCATTGTACAAGTTACAATGGGCTCAATCATGAATATCGTTGTAGTTGGCAATATGCCAAGAAAAGAATATACATTACTAAACTACTAATATGTTATTGGTGACCAATCAATGTTTATCGTAAGGAAACTTGTTGAAATACATTGTGATGAGGATTCTATATTATGCCAAAAGTATAATATTGAATAAAGTTAATAATAATAATAATATTTCTAGTTTAAATGGATACTAAAAACTTAAATCAGAAACACAGGAATCTGAAATATTAAGTAATTTTATTTATTAGGTTAATGTTCATCTGACATGATATTCATTATTTGTTGTTATTGTTTTAAATAAAAAAGGATTGATATTGAAGAAATTTTTCACACTCTCATCATTAACGATAATATTTATTAGTGGCTTGTAGTAGAATCCAGATTGACGCGCATTTCATCCAATTTGGCATTCGTCAGATGGATGTATCCGACGTCTCTTAGTTGATGTTCACTCGAGCACTAGAACACAGTAGCATTCGCTTCCAACACCATCACCTTATACACTTACCTACTGAGTCCTCATAGCCACTTGCTTGCGCAATGGGGTGAAGTTTAAATTCACTCGGTATTGAACATCAACTGTGAGATGCAGGGACATCCAAATAACTAATCCCAAATTATATGAAACATGCATCAAATTGGATTCCACTGCTAGCCACTATCCATCTTTACTTAGAATGCTTGTGAATTAAGGTAATGTTGAGGCAATACGCACAGTATGCACATATGCTAATAAGAGACTGATCAATGGCAGTCCTAAACATCAATAGAAGATTTAAGTATATAATACTAAATGATGATGCTTATTATTTTTAGCCTAAGCAACTCATTACATACTGCAGATCTAAAAACTTATTTAAAAAAAAGAACAGATAACTTATATGTGAAAATTATTTCTTTGATGATTTTGATATTGATTATTACCCTGAAGAAGTCTAGACAAGTTTGCTTGACGAAACGATGGAGTTATTCAAATTTCAATCGTTGAGATTACTTCAAATATAATTTTCACATATTATAATAACTTCTCTATACTCGGTCTCCAATTTTTGTCTAACTATTCTTTCAAATATTGACGAATATTCGTATAAACAAGTAACTTAATTCATTGAATATTGGGAATATAAATGTGTAGATAGTTTTCGTTTAAGAATTCTATGATTGCCCTTAATATTGAGTCACGTTAAACTCAGAATCACCAACACGGATGGGTTTAAGTTTTATGATTTACATTACTGACAACTGACCTTAATTAACCAACTATTTAGAATTAAGCATTGAATATATAATTTCGTTTTAGTATGGGACTTAAATGAAATTCCAATGATTGTCTAACTATGGTCAGTCTGTGATGTAAGCTATAAGCTAATAATATTTTCATTTGCTCAAATGATAGTTTGTAAGACTGATTAACAAAACAATTAATAAAACTGAATAAATAAAACTACTCTTGATATAAAATTAAAACTTCCTATTGATTAAGATCTTGAACTGATTGACGTTAGACCATCATGGAAAACCTGTGAGCACTGGACGGCCGTTTCGTCGTACTTTGTGGCTCCTCAGTAGCGTGCACCCACGATCCCGCTCTCGGGGCTCGAACCCAACGCCTGAAGTCTATTGTGCGAACAATTAACCTACTTGACCACTACGTTGGCATCCAACAGTGTTAATGTCTAACCTCAACCAATCCACGAAATTGCGCGACCATCTTCCATTGTCTGAGGTAGATACATGTCTCTACCCGACACGGGATAACGCCACTCGTCACGGCTCCTAACCAGAACTCCGAGAATTCCCTCATGAAGTTAGTCACTAGTGAGTACATGGTAATTATCAGTATAGGGTTGTGGAGATTATTAAGTTGGCGATTAAGATCTTCAACCAATTGATGTTGGTGCACATTCTTGAGATCTCTTCATGAAATTGATAATATCAGTTAAGTTTTGAAGCAGCTTAGTATTTACAATCTGCCATTTTGGTAAATTCTTGAAACTAATAACCACTGAACTGACCGGCATCCAACGTTGTTAATGTCTAACTTCAACTAATCCACAGAATTAAGCGAGACATTCACCATAATCTTCAGTGAGTTACTATCTCACAACAGGCTCGGTTCAAATCTACTGGTCACTGCTTCTCATTAGAACTCCAAAAAATATCTCTTGAAGCCAGTCACTAATGAGTATATGTTAATTAGTGTCAGAAGGGATATTGTAGCGTTGAAATCATGATTCAATTGAAGCTAGACCACCATGAAAAACCTGGAAGCCCTGGATGGCCGTTTCGTCCAATTGTGGGATTCCTCGGCAGTGCGCATCCAGGACCCCTCTTCGAGGTCGTTTGATTTTCGTAAATTTGTCAAATGAAAAGTATTTCTTTTGTTTATTCATTATTTATAAAGATCATCATAGTTAAAAAATCACAAAAAAACCGATCCACATTATTATCACATTATCATCAGTAATAATTAATAAGAACTTTCGTCTAAATTTGATCTAATGGTTTCACAGTATTTTGGCGCCGAGTTGATGTGAGACATCATCGAATATTCGATAATTTTGATTTTTTGATTATATTTCCTTAAAAAAGCTTGAACCAGATTGCCAGGTGAAATGTTGGATTTACTTCAAATTCATTCGCTGAGATTTTACAATTACATCCTTCCTCTTTAATGTCTTATCATTAGTAAATTTTCAAAAAAGTGTTTTGGCTAATTCAAACAGTATGTAGAGCCAGTGAAATTCCACTGAGCCCTAGCCAAGTCACCCGACAGTTGTGTCACTGAATATCGAACAAGTCATCGATACTCCTCAAGGTCAAGGACAACCAACTGATTGTACGCCATGAACTGGCCCATGTGGCGATGATCTTACCTTCGTTTGTATCTACTTTAACTAATATATTTCTGTAATAACTCCCTTTGTGTTGTACAGTCTTCAAAACATCTATAGTACCTTAATACGTCAATCAGATAAACCATGTAGGGTGTTGACCGCGAGGTGTGACTTTGATGTTAGCTGATTCGTCACATCATTCCCGTCTAACATGAGTAGGCTTCCAATCATTCGACATAGATCATCTATACTGATGATTTACAAGTATGTTGAATAGAATTAACCACTAAAATGAAATTTTATTCTCATGTTGACAGTTCAATAGTTAACAAAACCTTTTATTTTGTTATCTTGCATGTACGAAGTA